TCCCCGCAGGGCCCACGTGCGCCGACGAGAGGAACCCCTGCGAGCCCTCGCCCTGCCACGTCTCTGCCACCTGCCTGGTGCTGCCCGAGGGGGGTGCCCTGTGTGCCTGCCCCATGGGCCGGGAAGGAGACTTCTGCGAGCGAGGTGGGACGGGAGCCGGCGGAGGAGCGGGGCTGGGGCAGGGGGTGGACGGAGCTCAGCGTGCCCAGCCCGGGCGGTGGCATCGCCTGCTGTGGCTCTGGGGCACTGAGGCTGAAGCTGCTCTGCCTCCTCTCCCTCACCGTCCCCTCGTTTGTGCCCAGTGACAGAGCAGGACCACACCATGCCCTTCCTCCCAGAGTTCAATGGCTTCTCCTACCTGGAGCTGAACGGGCTGCAGACCTTCGTTCCTGACCTGCAGTAAGTGCCAGGGGAAGGGAGGGGGGCATCACCTGCCTGGTGGGTAAAGAGACACCACAGAGCAACATCCTGAGCATGGCAGGCGTGTCTCTCACCCGCCCAGGGTGCCTTGCAGTGGTGGCATCCCTCTGCCAATCCCTTAGCCCCGGGCAGGCAGAGTTATTCCAAGGGGTGGAGGAAGAGAGTGCGAGGAGCTGCCGGGTTGGAGGGTTATCCATAACCCTTCTCTCCTCAGGGAGAAAATGTCCATGGAAGTTGTGTTCCTGGCCAAGAACCCCAGCGGAATGATCTTCTACAACGGCCAGAAGACGGATGGCAAAGGGGACTTCGTGTCCCTGGCCTTGCACGACGGGTACCTGGAGTACAGATACGACCTGGGCAAGGGGGCAGCCGTGCTCAGGTGAGGGGGGGCCCCAGCCTGGGCTGCTCAGGGGAGGTTTCTCAGCGCTCTGCTGATGGCAGAGCTCTCACCTGTGTGTCTTCTCCCCCCTTCTCGCCACCCAGGAGCAAAGAGCCGGTTCCCCTCAACACCTGGACGAGTGTCCTGCTGGAGAGGAACGGGCGCAAGGGGGTCATGAGGATCAACAACGGCGAGAGGGTGATGGGGGAGTCACCGGTGAGTTGGGGGCTCAGGAGGGGCTCTCTGGGCTTCCAGCCCTGCTCCTGTCATGTGTGGAATGAGCTGAGAATTCCCCAGGCTCCTGGAGCTTTTAATCCCTGTGGCACATACGGCTTCAGGGGTGGAGGGGGAGCGGGCAGGCCCTGGGGAGGAGAGGATGCTGAAGGCAGAGCGTGCCTGTCTCCCTGCACGCCTCTCCCAGCCCCTGCTGCCTCCCTGTGCCCTGCACACAGGGCTGCAGAGCCCCTGCCAGGTTTCAGGAGTGCCTTTGAGCCCCCTCACGCACATCCACCTCCCCAGTCTTTATCTCAGATCCTCAACTGTCCCCGTACCAGGGCAGGTACGTGAGGCACCTGTGCTACCTGTGGCTTTGAGCCTATGCCCCCCATGGTGGGGGCTCAAGAGCCCCCCCAGCACAGAGAGCTCAGCCAGGAGGAGGTCACTGAGCAGGGAAAGCCCCTTGGCACTGCTGCTGCTGAATCCATCAGTGCCTTCTGTGTGTTTCCCAGCTGGCAGCTTCCCCCTCCAACTTCTCCCCATCCCCTGTCCCTCTGCACTTCTGTCTGCAGACCCCTGGGGTTCCTTTAACCCCCCCTTTCCAGCTGGGAAGCTGATACTGCAGGAAAAGTCCTGATTGCTGCTGAACCCATCTGTAAGATCCACCTAGAAGTGCAGCACCAGGATTACACAGTGTTCCTGGAAAAGAAGGGATTTCTTCCTCCCCTCGCTCTGCTCTTCTCAAGCTTCTCTCCCAGCACAGCTCACCCCTGGGTGTGGCAGGGACCCTCCTGTCACCTTCTGCAGCCCCCCTTCCCCTCCCTGGCTACCCCCAGCACTGGTGGCAGGGGGGGTCTTGTGGCCCTGCATGTTGCAATGTCACCCACTGATCTCCCTTTTCTCTCTTTTTCTCTCTCCCTTTGATTTCCATTTGTATTTTCCCCTCCCCTGCTGTCTCTGGATCCCAGAAATCCCGTAAGGTAAAGATAAGTATGAACCACCACACCTCCATCTCATCTGCCATTGGCACCTCGTTCTTTTTTTTTTTGTTCTCCATCCAGATCCCAGTGTTTCACCCACTCCCCTTCCCATCTGACCGAGCAGCTTTAGGATCTCTTTAGATTAGAGACACTCGTTTCCTCTTCCATCACTCATCCCCAGCCAAGTTGTTGCATTTTGTTCTGGAAGCATTTCAATTAATCTGATCATTTTTTTAACTCCACGAAGCATTAGCTAGTGATCCATATAACCCCATCTCTGCTGTGCCCCTGGCTCCATCCCAGGTGCCCAGGGAGGGACATCATTCCTGCCTGGAGAACCCTGCAGTTGGAGACTCTCCTGGGATTTTCCGGGCTGGGCGGATGGGGCCGCAGGGTGACAGCAAGGAGGGAGCTTTGTCCTCCAAACACACACCATGTGGGATGCAGGAGAACCTCCTCTAGCCATGGCAACCTGTAGCAGCCAGGAGAACCCAAGCTGAATCCTTCTGGAATGTGCTTGGATTTGAGCATCACCCCCGGAGAGATTTTGATATTTGGTTACTCGGTTTTGGGGGGGTCACGCAAAACCAGAGCCCCCCCCTCCGTGCCTGAGAGCATTAGAACAGCATCTCCCCAAAATTAAACCCCCAGGGAACCTTTTCCAGGTGCCTGCTGGTGGGTGGGACCTCGCAGCTTGGCATGAGGAGGTTTCCTGGAGGCCCCTTTCATAGAATCAGAGAACATCCTACATCGGAAGGGACCCACAGGGCTCATCAAGGGCAACTCCTGGGCCTGCACAGGACACCCAGGGATATCCTGACATTTCCTCCATCATCTCCCCTCTCCTCCCCAGGTGCCTCACACCTACCTGAACCTGAAGGAGCCGTTTTACGTTGGAGGAGCCCCTGATTTCAGCAAGCTGGCTCGAGCAGCTGCCATCTCCACCAGCTTCGAGGGGGCTGTGCAGAGGGTAAGGTCCTGCTGGGCAGCCCAGTGTCCAGCTGGGAGATGTGCCATCTGCCCTGGGACTGCTGGAGGGGAGTGAGGAGGAGCCTGGCAATGGGCCTGTGGGCCCACAGGGAGCACCCCTGGTGGAAAAGGGGCAGGAGGGGAGGCAAAGGTGCGTCAGAGGAACACGAGGGGCTTGGGGCTGGTTCCCATCTCCCCTCATCCCCAAGGACACTGCCCTCTGTCCCCCCATGGCAGAGAGACGGGGTGGTGGAGGATCACCATAGAATCATGGAATAGTTTGGGCTGGAAGGGACCTTAAAGCCCATCCCATTCCACCCCTTGCCACGGGCAGGGACACCCCCCACTATCCAGCTTGCTCCAACCCGGCCTTGGGACACTCCCAGGGGATGGGGCAGCCGCAGCTTCTCTGGGCAGACCTGTGCCAGGGCCTCCCCACCTCCTGGATAACACAACTCCTGTGTTTCCTCCTGCCTGCACGTGCCAGATCTCCATCAAGGGGGATCCCGTGCTGACGGAGCAGAACATCCGCAGCGCCATCGAGATCTCGCCGTTCCGGGGCCACCCCTGCACCCAGAAACCCAACCCCTGCCAGAACGGGGGCACCTGCAGCCCCAGGCTGGAGAGCTACGAGTGTGCCTGCCAGAGGGGCTTCCACGGGGCCCACTGTGAGAAAGGTGAGGGGCCAGGGTGGGCTGGGTGTGGACCCTCACCCACAGTACCAGACACGGCTGGTGGCAGCAGGACAGTGCAGGAGATCTCATCCTTTGTAGAGACCTGGAATGTTTTGTGTTGGAAGTGACCTTAAAAATCATCTCAATTTCCATGGGCAGGGGCACCTTCCTCTATCCCAAGTTGCTCCAACCTGGCCTTGGACACTCCCAGGGATGGGGCAGCCACAGCTTCTCTGGGCAACCCATGCCAGGGCCTCCCCGCCCTCACAGCCAAGAATTTCTTTCTAATATCCCATCTAACCCTTCTCTCTTTTAAGTTTAAAGCCACCAAACTGAAATTCCAGTTTAAATTTGACTGACAGTTGATGACGGTTGGCTGCAAAACAGGGAGATGGTCCCAAAATTCCAGACCCTAAAGCCACAGCAAACCTCTCCAGGGGCTTGCTTGGAGTGCCACGGGGCTGACACGCCCCGGGGGTGGCAGGTTGGTGCTTGCCTTCATCCTCTGAGGGATGCTCAGTGTAAAGGGGGATTTTCCTGGTCTCCAGGGGGTGGATCCTGACAGCTCTTGTCTTTCCCACCCCCAGTGATCATCGAGAAGGCTGCTGGGGATGCAGAGGCCATTGCCTTTGATGGCAGGACATACATGGAGTACCACAACGCTGTCACCAAGAGGTAACTTGGCTGAACCGAGCTCTGAATGAGGAGTTAAAGCTGACAGCAGGAGGAAGAGCTGGGATCAAGGAATTCCAAAGGGAAGCAAACCAAACTGTGGAGCTCTGAGCAGCCAATTCCAGCCCTCACCTCTAAAGCTGCCTTGCTGGCAGAGGGTTTGCCCCAAAACAGCAGTGCCTGGCCAACTTCAGGTCTGGCTGCGTGTGGGGCACCTGGGTGAGCACAGCCTGCTCTGGGGGTGGGATGGAGCTCCATCCTTTGTGTCCCTGCCTGGTTGTGCCACAGGGGTGGTTCTGCCAGCACAGATGGGCCATCCCTGCTGTGGGACCCGTCTGACCTCCTCCAGCCCGTGCCCAGCCCCGTGCTGGGGGTGCTGGGGTGCACCCCGTGGTGTCTGTGGCCCTGCTGCTCTCTCAGGGTGGGCAGAGCTGCTGCCTGAGGTCCTGCACGGCCCCTGGGCTGGATGTTTCTCCTTCAGGACACTCTGGTTCCGCTGTGGCCTGGCTCAGTGCCCTTCCTTCCTCACCACTGTGTCCCTGTGGTTAATTCCCAGCTCCAGGGCAACTGGGAAAGGGTGTTGGATGAGACTTCACCGATCTGCCCGTCACACCCTCGGCTTCCCTGTTTCCTAACACCCTGCCTGGGAGGGTGTCCGTGCTGAGCTGTTGTCTGTCAGTCTGTATGTCTGTCCCTTCTCAATGTCCCTGTTTCTTTGTTTTCAAGCCACCTGGGCAATGAGATCCCTGCGTAAGTACAGCCCTCCCTGCTCCCCTCTGCCCTCACCACGCCCCCATCGCCACCCCAACCTCGGCCCACCCGTGGGGGAGCACAGGGCAGGGGTGGGAGGAGGAATTTGGGCCCTCTCCCGGGGTCTGCCATGGGCAGGTGTTCCCATTTCGGGGGGAGGAGGACTCAGGGACTGATCACAGCTCTTGGTGCCCAGACACGGCACAGCAGGAGCTGCACGACCCGGCTCTGCCACAGCCAGATGTTGTCCCAGCTCTGCCTCAGCCAGATGTTGTCCCAGCTCTCCATAGTTACATTTTTACATGATTTTTTTAAGTTCAGCAGAGTTCTCTAAGCACAGTTTAAGGCTGGGCACAGAGGAGGAAAGTTCCTGTGACTCACTGTTCCACCAGCAGCCGATGGAAATCCAGGGTGCTGATCCTGCCCTGAGTTTTTCCACCATGGATGGGGGATTGCTGCTGTAGAGGGGAGGCCAGGCAGGGCACTGGGAGGATGTTCCCCAGCCAGAGTGTGTTTGAGGGAGCCCCTCAGAAGATGCAGTGGGCACAGGGGGTCAGAAGAAGGGTCTGGGCAGGTGGATGGGCAGAAACTTCTTCCCTAGAGCAGCCCTGACAGCTGTGATTTGCTTTCTGTCTGTCTGTCTTGCTGAGCACCAGGGGTGGAATGGAAGCCCTGCTCCATGCAGGTGTATTCCCCGGTGTCTGGGGAAGAGCTGGAGAGATTCCTGCCTGTCCCATCCCCATCTCACCCCATTTTCTCCCAGCCGGGCTCAGGCAGGGGCGTGGGGGGCTGAGCTGGTGTGTGCATGTGTGTCAGCGCCTGGGGAGCCACAGAGCCATCACCTGCATGTTCACAGCACTTGGGGAGGTGCTCTGGGTTTGGAAAGGGCTTTTCAGGAGCATCCTAAATATCCTCCTGAGCTGGGCAGTGCCCTCCAGCAGCGAGACCCTTTGGTGACCCGCACCAGTGCCCCGCTGTCCCTCTGCACACCCAGAGCCATGGGCAGAAGGTGTCCTGCCTCTCCCAGTGCTCTGCAAAGGGAAGGCCACCATTCCCAGCCTTCTCCCTGCCTGGCCCAGCCTATTTTGGCTGTGCATGCCCCATCCTGTGAGGGAGCTTTAGTGTTTCTCCCCATATTCCTCTGCTGGGATGCGGCCGCCGCCCTCCCCAGCCTTGCCAGGCTGAGGGACCCATAAAAGTAGGGGGTTTTTTGTGCCTCCAGGCGGGCACTGGGGTGTGCCCTGGGCAGGACTAACACTGCCAGTGCTTCTCTGGGCTCTGCTGGCCGTGACATGCCCGTACCTTTTTTACTGGCACATCCATTTTTATCCATACATGTAGCTGGAGCTGAATGTAACACAGGACCTGCAGTGCCAGAGGGACAGCTGGACTCCTGGATTTCCCCTTCTCCACGCACACCCTGTTCTCCAAGTGCCCCAAGGCTGACTCAGAGGCTCTGTGTGACAGTTCCACTCCAAGGGAGCCCGTTCTGCAGCACCCCAAAGACAGGACGAGAGGACACGGCCTCAAGTTGCCTCAAGGGGAGGTTTAGGTTGGATATCAGGGAAGATTTCTCCACTGGAAGGGTGGTCAGGCATTGGCACAGGCTGCCCAGGGCAGTGGTGGAGGCACCACCCCTGGAAGTGTTCCAAAAATGTGTGGATGTGGCACTCGGGGACGTGGTTTAGTGGTGAGCTCTGTGCTGGGTGATCTTGGAGGGCCTTCCCAACCCGAGTGATTCTGGGATTCCAAGAGAATTCCTGCAGGGAAGGGTCCTTGTGCAGGGCCAGGGACCCAAAGCTCCTTTCCCCCAGCAGTGTGTCCCTGGGATCCACACCCCAGCAGCGTGGGTGAGCACCAGGAACACTGGATCATGGAATCACGGGATCATTGAGGTTGGAAAAGCCTTTTAAATCATGAAATCCAGCTGTTAACCCAGCAGCACTAAACCACGTCCCCAGGTGCCACATCCACACGTTTTTTGAGCACTTCCAGGGTGTGATGATTCCACCACTGCCCTGGGCAGCCTGTTCCAATGCTTGACCACGTTTTCAGTGAAGAAATTTTCCCTAAAATCCAAACTAAACCTCTGCTGGTGCAACTTGAGCCATTTCCTCTCGTCCTGTCACTTGTTCCCTGGGAGAAGGGGCTGACCCCCACCTGTCAGGGAGTTGTAGAGAGTGAGAAGGTCCCTCCTGAGCCTCCTTTTCTCCAGGCTGAGCCCCCTCAACTCCCTCCACCACCCCTCAGAGAGCTGTGCTCCAGACCCCAGGAGCACATTGGAGCATCCCCACCCCACCAGCACAGGGCTGGATTCCCTCCTTGGCATTATCCTGCTCCCCCCTGGCTAAGCCACCACTTCCAAACGTGTTGGAGGCGACTCATCCACCCCCAGGACGGTTCCTGGCGCTCCCCACTCGCTCCGGGCAGGTTCTGTGTAGGATGAAAAGCTGCTGGTGCTGAGCAGGGGCTGTTCCCTGTGTGCCAGGGGGGGTGGGAGGGAAAGGAAGGGTCTCCTCTGCTGCCCCCTGCTTATGGCACGCTCCCCTTTCTTCCCCCACCCGAGTCCTGAGGCGCTGGACTATCCCGTGGAGCCCAGGTGAGTGAGCCAGGCTTTGTGCTCTCGTGTCTCGTGCTCTGCTGTCGCTGCCTCAGCATGTCTGTGTCTCCCTGTCTGTGTGTCCTGTGTGCCCAGATCCTTGGCTTTTTATTTGTGAGGGATACAGCTCTGCAGAGGGGGAGCAAACAGGGAGGGAGCCCCGACCCTCCAGCCCAAGATCATAGAATCATAGAATCAGCTGGGTTGGAAGGGACCTCCGAGATCATCAAGTCCAACCCTTGATCCAACCTCGCTGTGGTTCCCAGCCCATGGCACTGATGCCACATCCAGTCTCTTCTTAAAAACCTCCAGGGATGGAGAATCCACCACTTCCCTGGGCAGCCCATTCCAATGGCTGA